AGTCAAAGGTACCTTTTGAAATGGCAGATTTTATCATTCCTCTGACCAGAGACCCCAGTGGCTTTCCAGCTCTCTCAGGAAGAAGCCACACTGTCAAGGGGGCTGCAGGGACCAGCAAACCCATCCCCTCCCCTTTTCCTCCTGCTCTCTGGCTGCTTACCAGCTCTAGGGCCTGCTCAGACCCCCACCTGTGGACCTTTGCTGACATGTTCCCATAGTTTAGCTAACACTTTTCCAAGTAGCTCCGTGGCTAGCTTTCTCACTTCAGATGCCTGCCCTAGCAGCCTAATTAATAGTATCGGGTAGTCTCATCCTGACACCCTGTCTATATTAGCAGCCCACTTCCCTGTCCACACTAATACGAATCTTTTTATCAGGTTCTAACTTGACTTTGCACAACTTCCCATCAGTTTGAATGACATCCAAACTACTTGTGTTCTGGATATACCCACGTTTTTATCCGTTTTCTAACTCCAGCCCATTTCTCACTGCTCCTGTAATCATACCATCCATTTGAAATCACTTGTAGGAAACAAAATAAGATAAAAGTGATAAAGGACATAGCATGGATTTTAAGGATGATTATTAAATGTAAATATATTCTTGTATTAAATTAACATTCCTCCAACTTTAAACATTGAACGCGGTGCAGATAGCAACATTTGTTTAACCCTTTGAATGTCATGTGATGTTCATCCTATAAAATGTATGTTAGTGTAATCAATAGCAAAAGTGAATGATAGACTTAACAGAGGAAATAATTGGTTTGGACAGAGTTTTTCTCTTGTTAATTTAAAAGGAAGCATAATTTTTCAATAGACACCTCATTACAGTTAGGTGATTTTTTTAGAATGAATGTTTCTATCGTGGCTAATGAAAAATACAGGAATTTATAGCTCACCAATAAATACAGACCTTTCAGACATGTTTATTGTTCTAGTTCATTAAAATGCTGTATCTTTTACACAGTATTTCTTAAAGACCATAAAATTAATAGTGTATTTTAAAAGTTTTATTGGCGTGTATTTCCTAAGTCTCATTTAAGCCCTAGTGTTTAATTGTGCTGTCTCATATTGGCTAGGAATCTGGCAGTTCATATTATTTTTCTGTTTCAAAAGAAAAACATTTCCCTGCAGGGCTAGCTTCCATATTCTTGAATGTGTTTATATCACACTGCTTTGCATTTTCATGTGCTAAAATCTTGAGAATCTGTCAGAGCTAATCTGGATCTACTATTCTTTATGGCTTAAAATTATGCTGAAATATTCATTTAGTAACTAATCAAGCCCCTGGCCTGGCAGGATACATGAAACTAAACTTCAGATATCAGCTCCAGAGCTTAATTTTAAATCTTTCACTAACCAAAGCAATGACAGTACAGTAAACTTTTTTAGGGCTTTTTAAATTTTTCGTCTCTTTTTTCACTTTTCTTTTTTGGTACCGGGAATTGAACCCAGGGCCTTGCGCTTGCTGGGCAGGCACTGTGCCGCTGAGCTACATCCCTGGCCCCAGTGCAGTTAACTTTTTTTAGAGTATTGGACAGACAGCAAGCATTGCACAGCATGTAGGAGCTTTGTACATGTCCTTAAATATAGAATAATTCTGACCGTCTCCACTGCAGCGTTTGTGTGTGTGCTCCATAGTGCCCAAGTGCCTTCACCTTCTGAGAGAACTTACCCTCTCCCAACTAGTCTTAATTTAAATCTATCAATGCAGTAAAATAACTCTTCCCTTTTAATCTTCCTGAGTCACTTTTTGCTGTAAAGGTCTTAAGCCAGGAGGGGATATATTTGGAGTCTGTATTTGCAGAAAAATGCAACTGCTTAGAGGCATATTCAAATGACTGTCTTGTCCTCCACTTTATTGCCTTTGGTAGACCTTCTTGATAACTTTCCTCGAAGACTTGTACTCACGGGTAGCCATCATTTGCTTCTCTTCCCTCTCCCAAAGCCATCTTGAACAGTTTAAATATTTCCTGACATTTTCTCCTGATGCCTTTACCTCCTCAATCCTGAAGACCATTGCCCAATCTTGAGTATCTCTCAGACTTGCCTTTCTCATCTTTTACAGAAATAGTTCAATACCGTATTTTTTGCAGTCTTTATAGCCATCTTTCCTTCCACTGCTCATTCTTTATACAGTTCCTGAAGTCATCTTTTCAAGCACAAATCTTTGTATTCTTTTCTTAGGTTTCAGAATTTTAGATAGTTCTTGTTTCTGAGCAAGGTACTCAATAGCTTTTTCCCCTAATGGCTCACATTGAAAAAGGTAATAAAATGTGTAGCTAAATTGAAGAGGAAACTTGGCCTTGGAAGCCAGTAATCTAAAGCTTCATGTTTACCTGTGATGTATCCCCTTCCAGTTAGAGATTTTAGCCCAACCTCCACAGCTGAGGTGTCTTATTTAAGATCCTCCTTGGCCCCTTTCTTCCCAAGTAGAGCCTCGACAAGTACTGAAGGAGTGTTCATTTGGAAGCAGAAGCCAGAAATGAAACAGTGTGAGAGAGAAAGGTGAGAAGTCTCTGGACCACTAGGACTCACTGCTACTGAGGACCCTCAGACAAAATGTGTAGCAGGAGCCACAGAACTGTCTCACAGGATAACAGGAGAATGGGACCTTTCCTACATGTTCTGTCTCCTATGGATTTTGCACTGCTCCCAGAACCAAATGGTGCGTTCCTGTGCTGCACCTGAAGGGTACCTTAGAGTCTTTTGTACTTCGCTGGAAGTCCTAGATCTTTGTAGGCCTGAGAGAGCCAAGTGGATTGACCTGTTTGCCCAGATGCTTTGTACTCCAAGATTAAATGACACGGAAGAGAACATTACCATTGCCTAGTACTCTACCTTCTGTACTTCTCACATCTTGCTGTGCCTCACATAAAGGCCACTTTGTTACTGGCTCTTTATGGAGTAGCTGGTCATGACATGTTGGGAAGGAGAATAAACATCAAAACTTAAGCCAGAAGGTTAGTGGATCAACTACAGGCTAGTCTTAAACTGGTATTATCGCTGTGTTTGTTGCCCTTACCATTGTGTAGCACTTCTGCTAGTTTACCTGATGGCGTGACCTGGGCCACGATCTCTGAAGAGTCTGAGACCTTGGCTCCCTTACCCTGCGGGCTGTCACTGCTGTTATCCTCAGCCCGTTTCACCAGGAATGGAAGCTCCAAGAGGTGTCTCAGTGAATCTCCAGATTTATAGTATTCCCTTGTCTTCAATAGTTTTATTTCCTCATGATGTTAGGGATGATTATCCCATTTGTCTCCTAACTTTTCCTGCTATTCCTAGAGCATAAAATGTGTACAGTAACCAGACAGAGCTGAGCTACAACAGAGTACATACCTTGTCTTCTAGTCTCTTAGTTATTATCTGGGGAAGATTTTGCTTTCAGATAATATTTATCAGGCTGTGCTGTTATTTTCAACTGTCACACCTGAGATAGGAGTTGCAATGGTATTTAATGGATAGAAGCTAGGGATACTGCTAAGATCCTACTATTCACAAAGCAAACATATATCTACAGTGGAATTATTTGGCTCCAAATGATAGTGATGCCAACATTGAGAAACTCTGCCCAGGGAGAAGTGATTCTACCCCCAGAGAGTTTAGATTTCTAATCCTACACAATCCAGAGATCCATGGTATGTAAATGGGTCACTGGAACTTGTAGTACAAAGTCTCACACCAGATCCATGTAGTCTAGCCACTGGGACACATCATCAAATAGAATTTGTTGGTTTAGTACATAAACAGTGTTCTAGAGGAAAGTGTCCTAGAATTATCCAAAGTATGGGAAAGCTGGGGTATTCCCCTCATGTACCGAGGCCATTGGTACGTCCATGTGGTGGAACACTGGCATGGTGACATAAGTATATGGAGCAGCCAGGTAGGTGGAAGGATATACAAGAACCAGGGGCAACTGTGTTAGGGTGGAGAATGTTCAGAATATTAAGTAGAAGGCCTTTTTCTTCATTGCCACTGTATTGCTAGTACTCTACAAGTGCTAGGTGCATAGGTTCATATATCTGGCCTAGTAAGTATCTGTTGAATAAAGGTGAAAACAGAATAAATAATGAATGAATGAATGAATGAAATCTTGCCTGAAATTTTCCAAGGGTATTGAATATTTTAGTGTGGTTACTGTTTTCTTCTTAGGTGAAGAACCAAAGGACCTCAAATGTGTGGCCTCCCTATAGATGTTATAATGTCAGCAATTAGCATATCTCCTATTTGTTCCTATTGCCTTTTGGGTTTATTGGCCATAATCCAGTTTAGAGTAGATAGTCTAATATATGCAGATTCAGTATTCTCCCTTGCTACTGAGCGATGGTTTTGCTGACATTCATGAAATCGTTGAATTAAATCTCAGAAGGGGTTCTGAGTTTCTCAGTAGGAGAAGGTAAAGTGTAAAGGAAATAAGAAAATATGTGGGGAGAAAAAAATGTGTTCTCAGGTATTAGTATCTAGAGTAAGAGAAAATCTTTGAAAAGTAGTTTGTGCCACAGTTGGACAGGCTTTTAAGTATCCAACTAGGCATCCATGTGTCTGCCTAAGAGTCCAGTACTAATTTCTTATGATGTTTTGCCTCTGCAAAAGAGCTGGCAGTATATTGCATGTCTTAGTCTCTACCCTTCTGTTTCATTCTGTCAGTCTCTTGGCCCTATACTAATTCCTCCTCTTGCAGTGAGTCTCGCTAACCACTCCTGTTCACTTAGATATCTCCCCCTTTTATTTTTGGCAGTTCTTAATTCCCACCCCCCTAAGTTTTTATCTCACTCAGTGACATAAGAAGCCTGTCAGAGACAATATTCTAATCATTTCTTTGCTCGATGCAAGGAAGCAAAATGCACACAGTTTTTATGTTAACCCCTAAACACCCCCCGACACACACACAGACCGACACTATTCAACTTTGCTTCTTTTCTACATACTTTTGCTTTGAATTATTCCTGATGGAATCTTGTTTGTATTTTTATTTTTATGTTTTTGCTTATTTTCTAGATGGGAAGTGATGGAATTTTACGCCTCAGTACTTCAGCTCTAAATAATGAATTCTTTGCATATGCAGCACAAGGGTGGAAACAGCGACTGTCAGAAGGTAAATTTCAGTTTTCTGTTTTGTGTATGGGAGCACGCATACTCTGCTGATCTTTACACCTTTCTCTGATTTCCAAGTTTTTGTCCCCCTGAAATATAATGCAGTAACAACTCACATCTAGTTCCAAATGACTTCACTGATTCTTTTGATACACTTAGCATTTTTGAATAAAAGCATGGTATTATCTAGGACATAATAAAAATTCAGACACAGCATTGTTTTCTTTGAAATGATAATTTCAATTGCATAGATGGCCCATTATCTATTCCAAGTGTCCTGGAGTCTAAGGAAATTTCTTGTAATACCTTTTGTCCCTCCAAAGCCACCACATCATCCTTTCCTTCCATTGGTCACTAAGTTTCTTGAAAGGCTGAAGAAATTTATGACCCCAGTTTTTCTTCTTACGCTGAGCTGCTGGCTCTGCCATACACTCATGAAATACTGCCAGAGATGACAAGTGTCTTTCTCTGGCCAGCTGCAGTTTGCTCTTCTTGTTCGTTACCTGACCCATCCCTTCTTCGCTATCTCATTTGTATTTTATCCTATTTAGTATGAAACCGTCTACCTTAGGAATTCATAGTGCATTTTGAGTTCTTTCCCGGGGCTGCATTTCTGACAGCCCTTCCTCATCTTCCCTCAGCAGCTCATGTCACTGTGTTTGATAAGAAGTATCTGTACTATTTTCTTTTCTAACCACGTACATTCATCTCGATTTTAAAGTGTGACCCATACGCCAAGAACTTCCGAGCCTGACTCTCACTCCCTTCTCCTGATCCCTGGCTCCTATTTCCAAACACTAAACATAACATTCACTATTTTTTATATCTGCTCTTCCTTCTGCCTCCTCTGAAACATCACCACTGTCCCATGGTTTAAAGCCTAAGTGGTGTCATTGACCCTCTTCCTTTATCTTGTCCTGAACTGTTAATTGCACCTGATTTCTCTTCAGCATCCCCCTGCTGCTAGCCCATTGTAGTTTGTATCTCTCAGGAATGCTGCTCAGGAGCTCCTAGCTGGAGCCCTGCTATTCCTTCACCCTATTATCTGCTTTATCTTTCTAATGTGTTTGTTTGGCCATGTGTGTCCCTCACTGCATGCACCAGGGCCTCCTTCTGTCTCCCAGAGGGAAATACAGAGATCTCTTTAGTTCAAACATGCATTGCATAACTGGCCTCAGTTTTTTTTTCCTGTTTTACTTCTTCCTACATCCTGCCCATAATTGGCCTCTTGCAAGAATGTAAATAAAAATATTCTGATCTTCATACCTTGTTATTTAATCACTCTATGAAAGCCCGATCATCCTTCAAAGGTTGACTCGATTCATACCTGTAATTCTCCTTAATTGACTTAGACAGAATTAAGTGCTTCTCCATCTCTACTTTTACCTCATCTATTATTATTATGGCCTACTTGGTGCTTTTGACATTATTTCATAAGTCAGTGCTACACCTTTACCCCCATCAGGCTGATTTCCCTGAGGGTAGTGAGTAGCTGCACGCTGTCATTGGCAGCCCCTGGCACACAACACATCTGCTAGATGTGTTAGAGTTCCCCCAAGACAAAATGACTACTGCGTGATTTTTATAAAGAGAGAAGCTGTAGAAGTGTTCTCATTACTCAACCTTTTATTTTTCAACATCCACAAAAGTATACAAAAAGTGAATTGATTTCATGTTTTCCTTATTAATTGGGAAAAATGATATGGCCACTTTTACTCAGTGTATTACCATTTTCTTTGTAGGAGAGTTTACCCCTGAAATGCAATTACGAATAAGACAAGAAATTGAAAAGGAAAAGAAAACAGAACCTTGGAAAGAAAAATTCTTTGAAAGGTTTTATGGGGAAAAGTAAGTACTAGAGCATTTTTTTTTCTCATTTCTCTTAGAAGGAAATGAAAATGCGATTCTCTGCTTCACATAGCACACTCTTATGCTGTAAAACTTAATAAACCCGTGATAAAAGCCAATAGTCCCTCAGTGTAAGAAATTGCAAGTAAAATTATAGTGGCATATCAGCGCTTAAATTTTTAAAAATGCATTTTCAAGGATTTATAACTGTTCATGAAAATTCATTTTGGACTGAAAATAGCACATGAAATCCTATAGAAGTCAATTTGGGCTTTAATAAGAGAATTTCAGTACAATTCTCCTAGTTTTTAACTGAGTATTTTCATTATTGAATTCTTTAAACATAAGAAATTTTAGGTATACATTTAATTCTTGATTTTTTTCTGAAAATATTGACTGTGCATGTCCATTATAATATTTATTTAGTTCTTGTTTTGGGAGAGCCTGAAGTATTATCCTTCACATTTTCCATCTTCTTTGTCACTTGTAGCTTGTTTTTAATTTATTTTTTGTATATACATGGCTTCTAAAGGAATACCATCCACATTGTCAGCATGATAGTAACTAAACTAACTTGAAAGGAGTTTTTATCTCTGCTTCATGTTTAGCACAGATGTATTTTGCTTGAGCAGGATTAATGTATCAAAGTCAATCTGATCACTGGGGAGAGAGGTGAGACATTTGGGAATTGACTGACAATAATTCTAGGTTCGCCTTAATAGAAGAATTTGTGCTTTGACTCTCACACCCACAACTAGGACTTCAAAGCTGTCACTTTATATAAAAGACACTAAGGTAACAAAACCTGTGCTATTTAATCTCTTCTCACAAAATTTCCCCTGGCAAGGGGTGAAGTGGCACCAAAAGGAGTCTGACAAGACAGTTCTCTGGGAGAAGGAGTCAGATGTTGGAGAAAGCGCTTCCTCTGTGGAGGCCGGCCTTGGCTCACTCTGTGATCAGTAGTGGTGCTCTTAAGTTGTGAGTCCTGTTTTTTTGCTGCACTAGAATTCCCGGATGTGTATGTATGCTTACTTAGGCAAAACTAAGTAGAAATAATTAATGCATTTTCTCAACAATTAATAATGTGGTAAGCTACTTATGTGAGCCATATCACTTAAGCCTGACTACATCAAAACCATCATTGGACACTGTAAAATAGGTGCAAGTTGAGAGAATACTCTTCAGGCATGACATTCATGAATTCACACTCTTAGAAGCTTTCTAGGTCATGCTGAAGCCCAGCGGGGCTAAAAACCTTAAGAGACTCTTTCCTGAGCATGAAGCCGGCTCTTGGTGTTGCTTTGCTGCAACGGCCACTTGCCATTGATGGTCATTCTTGCTTCTCTTTCTGGAGGGAGTGAAGGGGAAGGAACACAGTCTGAGTGGTTTCTGTAAAAAATAAAAACAAAAGCAAACAAACAAACAAACAAAAAACCTAGAGAATCAGACTGAAGACCACTCAAGAAACCTCCCTCCTCTTCTCTCTGAAAGGGAATGTCGGGAACATTCTTTTTTAGTAACAGCAGAAAGAAACTTGAGTTACTTCAGAGCACTGGTCCTTAGTTTCTGTTGAGTGTTCAACCCATTTCACAGTGATACTTATCTGACCTCTCCTCTGTACCAGATACCATTCTCAGTGCCGGCCATGCAGTTGTCTGTCGGCTTCAAGGCTCTGCTCACAGCAAGCCTGCATTATCCAGAGCTTCCCTTCTTTCCACCAAAAGCACTGAGCAAACTCTGCCTGTGATATGTTTCTAAGAGTTGTGCCATGTTTGTTCACTCTTTCCTCTCAATGATCTTGTAAGGTGGGTCTCATTATTTTTATATAGGAAAAGAAAGAAAAAGATTAGGAAACTGGAATATAGAAGCTAAGTAATTTTCCCTGGGTTGCACATTGAGATTAAGTTGATCATTCAAAGTCATAATCTTAAGAAAAAGGCACAAATGCTTACTTTTTTTTCAGTGATGTTGGGAAACTTCAGACTCTCATGAATAGTAGGTTAAAGGCCACTGTCCAGAAGGTGACCACTACAATACTGTGAATAAATGTGATCCCATCACTGCCACCAAGCTCAGGAACAGAATGTTTTTATTCAGGACCCTTTTCTTTCTGTGGCTTATTAATAATTTTTGTTTTGTTTTTTGCCATTCTATCAACAGACTTGTCTCATATTCTTTTCTGTCTTTGATTATATACTGGATAATTGGTGCACTGTGGTCATCTCATTGATTCCTCTCCTTATTTTGTTACTGGTAGATGGCCTTCATTCCCCAGGGTGACAAGTTTTCCCCAGGACCAGACAGTTTTGTCTCGACCTTTTCATTTTTTTAATATTTTCCAAGAATGTTGCCATCCAAATGTCCCTTTTTAAGATCTGACTTGGTTTATTTATTATAATTTTTATTAGGTTAATGTGCTTATAATATAGCACTACTCTGCATTTGTTTTGGTTACTTAGAGATCACTCTCATCCATGTTCTAAGAGTTAAAGTGTTGGTCTGTAAATCTGTGGCCTAGATCTCTGGGATCAGGTTTTCTTTTAGATAGAAAATGGTGTGTTGTGAACATCTTCCTTCTATGTCCGTGCCATCTTAAATATGTGTAAGTATATTTAATGCAGTCTAATTTTATACATACATATCCTTATCTATGTTTATTTAATAATATTGTTAGTAGCTAGCTATTAGAAATTTGCCTGCCAATATCTGGATTTCTGCAAGTTACGTACTTGACTAATATCAATGGTATGTCTACTTGACCCAGCGCCAGAGGACTATCTCTAGCTGGTTATTCTGATTTAAATTTTCTATAATAAAGTTGTTCTACCCCTTTCAATATAGTGTAATTCTAAAGTGTAGCTTAGCTTGATTCCATTGGAAAAAAAAAACTAATCACAACTAATCACGAAGACAGTAATCTCCATTATATTTCCAGAGCCTTCTTGGTTGTAGTAAAGAAGACAGTGATTAAATACCCCCAAAGAACTTTCCCTTTTACTTCCCTTTCATTTTGAGAATTTTATTTAAGTGAAAGTTTGAAGTGGATTTAATTGAGATATTTTCCTGTTTACTTTTAGAGGTGTATTTCTTCACTTAAAAGTGTTTCTATTAATGTTCTCTCTTGTTCTTATTTTGACATTGCCTGTACCCTATTTATTTTCACTGAGAATAGCATATTTCTCTACTGTTTGATGCTGATGTCATATCTGAATATGACAAAAAAAGGTGACTTACAGTAATTAATTAATTAATTGTAATTTCAATATCCTGGCTTGTAATTCTGAGTAGCTTTGCTACAGACCTGAACTGGATTGTTCTTTAACCCCTGACTGGACCATTTCTTGATTTTCTTCACTATTTTGTGTAACATCTTTACAGTAAGCAATCTACACAAATATATTAGAGATTATTTCTTCACAGAAATGTAAGCTGATAGAATAACTTTGATAAACCCAATTGTTTTATTCTTTAGTAGAATTTCCCTATTACATTATATGCTAGTTGCTGCAATAAAGGTTACTGAATAATATTTCTTGGATTAATTTCAGAGATTAAGAGAGTCAAAGTTTAGAAGACACTTCAGTTTTACAGTTTGTTATTTGTTTGTTTGTTGTTTGAGATAGGGTCTTGCGACGCAGTTCAGGCTAGGCAGGCTTGAAGCCACTATGTAGCGCAAGCTGGCCTCGAACTTGCAGTGACCTCCTGCCTCAGTCTCCTGAGTTCTGGGATTACAGGCGTGTACCACCATGCCTGGCATCAGTTTTAGAATTTGATGTATTTCATTAATTTACCATTAATCTTAATTATTTGACTCTTTACAGCCCCTGAAGTCTCTATCAGTTTCTGTCTTGAGGGTATCTTTCTACTTTCTGACTTAAAAATTTTTTTTCGATCTTTCATTTAAATAGTTCTTTTGTTTTACTGCCCATATTTTCTGATCTTTTATTTGAAATTTTCTTATTCTCTACTAATACTTGGTAGATTAGGGTTTATGTCTCCTTGTCTAGAAAATAAAAATCTATACCTTCCTTAACCAAAAATAGTGGAGAAATTACATCATCATAAAATGTTTTACATAAAGTCACCATGTTACATAGTGATAAGATTAGTGTGATTCATTATCTTCTATCGAACATTATATTTGTAAGTGATCCAAGTTGTGGCTTTAAGGCTTTGTAGTTGAGCAATAATTTAATGTCTCTAATTTCTGTTTAGGCTGGGCTTGTCAAGAGAGGAATCCATGAAGCTCACTTCTGGACCAAACAATGATGGAGCCGAAGGTAGTTCCTCATGCGGGACCTCTGGCCCTCCAGGTTCTTCTGCACAGGCCCCTGTGGAAGAACAACAGCCCAAAAGCATGAAAAATACCACTTCTCCAGAGCCCAATTTCTGTGCTACACTTTGTCCGATGATAGAAGTTCCCACTAAAGATGCAATGGCAGAATCAGAGGATGTCTTGATCCCTGAGGAATCTGTGATTCAGGAGGAAATTGCAGAAGAGGTAGAGACTAGTATTTGTGAATGTCAAAATGAACATCACAAGAGTATACCTGAATTTTCTGAGGAATCTGAAAGTCCAACCACCTCTCATGAAGAGCCCCAATTAGCACCTCCAGAGGATAACTTGGAATCCTGTGTTATGATGAATGACGTTTTAGAAACTTTGCCTCATATTGAAGTTAAGATAGAAGAGAAATCGGAATCACCCCAGGAAGACATGTCAGTTGTTATCGATCATATAGAAGCCTGTGACTCTCTTGATCCTTCTGCTTCATCTGTGACTCATATCAGTGACGCAGAACATAAGGAACCAGAAACTTCAGTAGAGACCAATAGTCCAAAATTAAAAACAGGATCATCTTCTCTAGAAGACCAATTTCCAAATGAAGGAATTGCCATAGACATGGAGCTCCAGAGTGATCCTGATGAACAGCTTTCTGAAAATGCTTGCATCTCTGAAACCTCCTACTCTTCCGAGAGCCCAGAGGGAGGCTGTGCTAGCCTCCCATCTCCAGGAGGAGAGACCCAATCTCCATCTGAAGAATCATGTACTCCAGCCTCCCTGGAGACAACGTTTTGTTCTGAGGTCTCCAGCACTGAAAACACAGACAAATATAATCAGAGAAATGCCACTGATGAAAACCTTCATGCATCTTTGATGTCAGAAATATCTCCAATATCCACATCGCCTGAAATATCAGAAGCATCTCTTATGTCTAACTTACCACTAACCTCTGAAGCATCACCAGTATCCAACTTACCTTTAACTTCAGACACATCACCGATGTCTGATTTACCTTTGACATCAGATACTTCTTCAATGTCTTCCGTACTTCTCACCTCTGAGACTACTTTTGTATCCAGTTTGCCACTTCCTTCAGAAACATCTCCAATTTCTAATTCTTCCATGAATGATAGAATGTTACATCAACAAAGAAAGTCACCTTCTGTGTCTGAAGAGTCACTCTCTCCACAGAAAGATGAACCTTCTGCCCCTGCCAAATCCCTGGGAGAGAACCTCATCTCCCAGCAGAAGCCTCTCTCCAATACTCCTGAACCCATCAAAATGAGTTCTTCTGCCATTGCTCCTGAAGCGTTTCCATCTGAAGAACTGCACAGTAAGACCCTGAGTCAGCAGCCTTGTAAATCACATATTGAGATTGAAAAGCCCTATCCTCCATCCATTGCAGAACTTCCTTCTACAGAAATGATGAAAGTTAAAAATCACAGTGTCCTGCAAAGAACAGAAAAGAAAGGGGTATCTTCACCATTGGAATTGTCTGTCTTTTCTGAAGATGCAGAGAGTAAGGGAAATGAGCTTCCATCAGCTAAATTGCAGGACAAACAGTATGTCTCATCAACCGAAAAGGCTTCGTTTTCAGAAGGTTTGAGAAATAAAACACATAAGCAAGGGAACTCACAGAATCGCTTGGAGACCTCACATACTTCCAAGTCATCAGAACCCTCCAAGTCACCTGATTGCATAAGAAATGAAAGTAGAGAATCAGAGATATCAAAGAGGAAAACTGCAGAGCAGCATAGCTTTGGAATCTGTAAGGAAAAGAGAGCTAGGATAGAGGATGATCAGTCAACCCGGAATATATCATCTAGTAGCCCACCTGAGAAAGAACAGCCTCCAAGAGAAGAACCTAGGGTGCCCCCTCTCAAGGTATGGTATTTTAAAAGGTAGATCCACAGATGGGCTTCCCCCATTCGGAAACCAAACTTGCAAGAATAAATTGGAATTTTCTCTTTCTAAATTTTATATAGCAATTTATATTCTAATTTGAATTCATCTGGTTTAATACAAAAGGATTGTAAACTACACATTACATTCGTAAGAAGTTCAGATATGTGCCTATATTTAGACATCGATATTTAAGTAAAAACAAGAGGGCTTGAAAGAGCACAGAGACCACTAAGGCACTAGGATTTTAGAATTTCCAAGTTGCAAAAGAGATCTGTATAACTTGGAAAAGTGTGAAAGATAATTCAGTGACCTATGGAAAATGTAGAATGCCTAGGAAAAATACTTAAAACTCAGAAGTCAGCACTACAGAGGCAAGGGTACATATTCCTTCATTTTTCTAGAAACATTCTGCACCACAGTTACTTAACAGAAAGAACACTGGGACATGGCTGATCATAGAGCCACATCAAATATTTTCTGAATAAACTAATAAAATTAGGAGCTCTGAGAGAGGATGTTGTAGATATACAGGTGTACAGATGCTATATTTTTGTGTCCAAGATTATTAAAGAGATGTCTAACATCACACAATAATGAAAAACATCCTATTTATATGCTTCCTATGATCCTGGGTATATTTTAACTCTGAAAACAAACCTGTTATATAAATTGGATCTGCCTAAGTAAACTAAAAATTAAGGTTAATTCAAAAGAATCCCTTTCTTTAATTTTTTAACCTCTGTCATTTTTCTTTTTGATACTTTTATCTAAGCATAATAGAAATTATTATTGTACAAGGTAGAATATTCCCCCATGATGGAATTGGTCTAGAATTATAAATATCTCAGGCTTCTAAAAGTATCCTTACTTTGCTTTCACATACATACGTGTATTTTATAGATGACATATGAACTCTGCAAAGGTGGCTATTAAGAGTTAGGGCTGTAGTTATTCCATTTAATAGAGCAGTGCCTATTAAGTAAGATTCTAGATATGTAAAATATCAACATCAATTTCAATTAAAAACCCATCTATGTCTTAATTTCTGAACCATGAGAAGAAAAAAAAAAGATGTATCTTTTTAAGTGAAATATTTTAAACATACCATCTTAGATGTTGGGTTAAAAACTGATTTTAAAAGCAAGATGCACTTTAATGATAGATAAAATTGGATAGATAGATAACATAGATGCTAAACACATATTTGATGGTTGACCTTTGAACTTTTAAAGAGATTTGGGATTAATATTTTTAGTGTTTTACACAAGGGGAATATTTAAAAGGAAAAATTGAATATCCTTACCAAATTCATCTCTTCTTGGTCACAGATTAGAGGGCAGGCTTTATAAGTAGTTTGAAAATGAAAAATGATACAGCTCAGAAAGATAATCTCGTCTATCAGATTTCCAAAACATAATTCTAAATTAAAATGATCCTGCAGTCTGCATTGTTGTGTGAATGTACATGTGTTGGGAAGAGAGCTATTTGCTAGGAACGGTTTATTCCACATGGGAGTAAAGGGAAGCTGCGCGCCTGTCCATAGGCCTGACTTTGGAACCCGCAGTCGCTCTGTCACCGACTTGTTATGTGACTCCCTGGCGAACTGCTTGACTTCCACAGGCTCGATTTTTTCAACTATAGCATGAAGATTTTAATTAAGATCCTTTTAGCTCCACAAACCTACAACTCTAAGTCTGCTTGTGGTGACTGAGGCAGTGGGAGTGAAACTATGGCACATGTGGTATTTGCTTTCCTTTTAAGAGGAAAAGATGTTAATGTATGAGCTGTGTTTCTAAACTAAAACCACAGTGTTCAGGTTTAATTGTAGTGTCGGTACTTTGAGATAAGTAAGTGGATTTGGGGTTGCAGTTTGGGCACTCATCCCTAAGAGGTTCGCCGTCACTGAACGAGATAGCGCACCACAGCACTCCTGTGGGACGCTGGGTGTTGGGACTTAAGCCTTATACATTTGGGGGTGACTCTGTGAGTCTCTTCATTAGCATGATGTGGTGAATAGTGTAGACTGGACATGTGGGAAATTTAGCGGATGGTGAGTTACCAGTATCAGAAGAAACTGCCCAGCCCACACGTTCTTTGAAAGGCAGAAAATCAGAATTGCCCTTGCTTTTATGAAAATATAATGATAATGTAATCCCTTTGGAAAATAGAGCACTCTCACAAATACAGCCTCATTCCATCTTTATAACAGCTCTGTGAAGGAAATAGACCAGAAATAACTCATTTCATTTTACAACTGAGTTTACAAACTCATATAATGTGCTCATACATATAAAGCAGCACGTTAGTTGGGGCTGGAGTACATCAAACCTGCCCAGTCTCGGGGCCAAGGTTACTAGAGAAACTGAGGTACACAGTAGTTTTTCTAGGATAATAAGGTAACTAGGGAAAGCCAAGATGAAAATTGTAATTTTCCATCTTTTGGGGCAGGGCTTTTTTCTTTGGTTCAGATTAACACTGATAAACTCAAATAGTGCAAATATTTTTCATTCCAGCAACAAGGATAATTTAAATATGAAGTATCTCTAAGTCTTTTTTGCTAACTACATTTTAAGAAGCCTAGATTTTGTTCCCATATGTATAAAGCCTCAAGATGCTTTATTCCCATGCAAGTGAAGTCACTGTTCCATGTTTTTTTATAGGAAAAAAAAACCCTTTATTTTCACATTCTTGCTATATTTTTTTATTTTCTGTCCTCAACACCCATTCAGGAATTAAGCTAAGGTTCATCCCAAATGATGAGAGAAGGCAGCTTGTCTTCCCTTTGTGTTATAGCATCCCATGTGTCTCCTAGGCAGTCACATATAGAAGCTTTAATCTTTCCATCCTCTCCTTCTTTTAGATCCAGCTTTCCAAAATTGGGCCACCTTTTATCATCAAGAGCCAACCAGTGTCCAAAGCAGAGTCTCGAGCATCCACTAGCAGCACCTCTGTCAGTGGGGGGAGGAACACCGGAGCCAGGACCCTGGCAGACATCAAAGCTCGTGCCCAACAAGCCCGTGCCCAACGTGAGGCTGCTGCAGCTGCTGCTGTAGCGGCTGCAGCCAGCATTGTCTCTGGAGCCATGGGGAGCCCAGGAGAAGGTGGGAAGGCAAGAACTCTGGCACACATCAAGGAACAAACCAAGGCTAAGCTCTTTGCAAAGCATCAAGCACGAGCCCACCTCTTCCAGACCCCTAAAGAGACGCGATTACCTCCTCTCAGCTCCAAGGAAGGGCCTCCAAACTTGGAAGTCTCTTCTACTCCTGAAACAAAGATGGAAGGTTCTACTGGTGTCATTATTGTCAATCCAAACTGCAGATCTCCTAGCAACAAGTCTGCGCACCTCCGCGAGTCCACCACTGTATTACAGCAGTCTCTTAACCCCACTCAACTTCCAGAAACTGCCACTGATTTATCTGTGCATAGTTCTGATGAAAACATACCTGTGTCACATTTATCTGAGAAAATTATTTCATCTACCTCTTCTGAAAATAGCAGTGTGCCCATGCTTTTTAATAAAAATTCTGTCCCCGTGTCTGTTTGCAACACTGCTATGTCGGGAGCAATTAAAGAACATCCCTTTGTGAGTTCTGTTGACAAATCCTCTGTTCTAATGTCTGTTGACAGTGCAAACACTACAATTTCTGCTTGTAATATAAGTATGTTAAAAACCATCCAGGGAACTGACACTCCATGCATAGCCATTATACCAAAATGTATTGAAAGCTCTCCTATTCCGGCCACTACAGAGGGCGCCGGCATGTCGAGCCCCATGGATGATAAGCCGTTGCTAGTACCAAGCAGCAGTGCCACTAACTTAGTCTCCAGTCACTACACCTCTGTGCCAACTCCCTCTCTTGGAAGTACTTTGCCAAACCATCTCTCCACTAGCTCTATCTTGATTCCCCCATCGGGAATGAACAGATTTCCTTCTGAGAAGATAGCCATGCCTGGGAGTGAAGAGCAGGCCACCGTATCCATGGGTACCACTGTGAGAGCAGCCCTGAGCTGCAGTGATTCAGTGGTGGTCACAGACTCCCTGGTTGCACGCCCACCTGTCGCAATGTTTACTGGAAATATGCTAACTATAAACTCTTACGAGAGTCCTCCCAAATTAAGTGCTGAAAGCTTGGACAAACCTTCAGGGCCTCGAAACAGGGCAGACAATTCTGGAAAACCTCAGCAGACACCAGGGGGCTTTACACCAGCAGCCATAAACAGATCGATTCCCTGTAAAGTCATTGTTGACCACAGCACCACGCTGACCTCCAGTTTGTCTCTGACTGTCTCCATTGAAAGTACAGAAGCCAGCTTGGACCTCCAGAGCAGGTCAGTGAGGACAGAAGTATCTATTCAGCCCGTGGCGTGCCCTCAGGTGTCTGTTATTAGCAGGCCTGAGTCAGTGGCGACAGAGAGCATAGATCACAGTTCTGGTTTCATTGCTGCCTCTGTAGCCAAACAAGACTGTAAAACCTTGCAGGTCCCCTGCACCAGTCTCCGAGAATTACCCCTTGTTCCGGATAAATTAAACGAGGTGACTGCTCCTAGTCATAGCTTTGCTGAGCAGGCGTGTAACCCAGCTACTTTCAAAAGTGAAGCAGACACAACCTGTAGCAATCAGTATAACGCAGGAAACCGGATTTGCTGGAATGATGATGCCATGAGGAGCACAGGGCAGCCTCTGGTTACTCACTCGGGTTCAAGCAAGCAGAAAGAATACGCTGAGCAGAGTTGCCCAAAGGCCATCAAAACCGAGCACACCAGCTACTCCCACGGGTCGGAACTTCACCCCAGGAATCTCATAGCCAATGTCAGTCTTCCTGTGAAGGCCGAACCTCATGAAGTAGACAAGGGCTTTAGGATGGAGACTGAAGACTTCACTGGCCCTGAGCTGCCTCCCCCAGCTGCAGAAGTGGTCTCCAGTGTGCAACAAACACAGAACGTGAAAGCTTCCACCTCGAGTCCCATGGAAGAGGCTATTTCCTTGGCTCCAGACACCCTGAAAAGAGTTCCGAGTGCAGGAAGCTCAAGCTGTCGCCTGTCGTCCGTGGAGGCTAACAATCCACTGGTGACACAGTTACTGCAGGGCAACCTGCCTCTGGAGAAAGTGTTGCCGCAGCCCAGGTTGGGAGCCAAGCTCGAAATCAACAGGCTTCCTCTGCCCCTTCAAGCTACCTCAGTGGGTAAAACAGCACCAGAGAGGAGCGTTGCTGAAATGCCGTCCAGCTCTCCAAATCCAGATGGCAAGGGCTACTTGGCAGGGATGCTGGTGCCAACACAGATGAGAAAGCGAGAAAACCACCCCAAGAAGAGAGTAGCCAGGACTGTGGGGGACCACACTCAAATTAAGTGTGAACCGGGGAAATTGTTGGTGGACCCAGATGTTAAAGGAGTACCGTGTGTCATCAACTCCGGCATTAGCCAGCTAGGACACAGCCAGACGTTTAAGCAAGAGTGGCTGAACAAGCACTCCATGCAGAACAGAATTGTGCACAGCCCTGAGGTCAAACAGCAAAAGCGGCTGCTGCCCGCCTGCAGCTTCCAGCAGAGCCTGTTTCATGTGGACAGAAATGGCAGCTTCCACCCTGATGCTGGTACCTCACACAGACAGCAGTTTTACCAAATGCCTCTGGCTGCCCGGGGCCCCGTGCCCACGGCAGCTCTACTACAGACGCCTTCCAAGACCCCAGTGGGCTGTAATGCATTTGCCTTCAATAGGCATCTTGAACAGAAGGGACTAGGAGAAGTTAGTCTTCCATCAGCACCTCACCAGCTAAGGCTAGCCAACATGTTGTCCCCGAACTTGCCCATAAAAGAAGGCGATGAGGTGGGAGGCGCCATGCACACAATGTCCAGCAAAGCACTCGTGCATCCTCCGCTGCCCCCACCGCCCCCT